GTTCTTTGACTCCATTCATCTGACAGAAAAGGCCTACCACCAGATATCGGAGCTATTTTGGAGTGGAAGTCCCGAAGTCACTGCACCTTACAATCTCAAAGCACTAATGAAATAATCACTTTTATGAGCTGATGAATTGATATCCGTATATGTACTTAGAATTGTGACACGTACTATTCTCCCCTATTCTCCGCAAAGAAAAATCATCACCTTAATAAATAAAAATCAATTCCATTAGAGGAAAAATGCTTTGTTAAATAAAAAATTATGTATAACATTGTAGATATTTGAACTTTAATACCAAAATTTTACGGTTTGTAAGTACTGATTTGATTGAACAACTGTTGGTAGCAAAATGTTCTTAGAACTTTGACTGTGATGAAAACTTTAAGTGGAAACAATGATTAAAGCTTGCAATGTGATAACAAAGAGGGGTTTTCCTGATCAGCAAGCAAAAGCAATTGACACAAAGACAGCCATTCCCAAATAAAGTCGCTTCCTTTCAAATTGTATTTCAATTCAAGAGAGCTCTGACTCACTTTGCAGTTTTGATAAATAAAATCATATCTTAGTTAAATTCATGAATGATATCAGATTAATACAAGTCCCTCAAATATGTTAACTCTCACCCGCAGCTTTGGTTGCCTTGATTCGGGTGCACCTAACTCTTAGCGTTGGCCAGAGTTTAAGCTGCTATAGCAGCCTCCTATTCCCCCTTTCCTCAAATTTCTCCCTGTTCAAAAAAATAAAATAAAATAAAATAAAATGTTAACTCTCACGTAATCAATCTACTCCACTAAATAATATCCACTGGACCAACCAGAAGCTTCTGCAATATTTCTCTGTTATTCGGAAACAGGGTGGTATTTTATTCAAATTATACAACTTTTCATACTTTATTTCTCCTCTTCTTCATGTGTATATATAAATATATAACATAGATTATAGGATGAACTATAAATGAACCCTAGATTATAGGATGAACTATAAATGAACCCTAGATTATAGGATGAACTATAAATGAACCCTCAACTTAGGATGCAGAGTGTAACATAAACAAAACCGAAGCTCAATTTGATATGGCACCAAGCCAAATAAGGTTTTACGTTTGTCTCTTTCTTTTCTTCACTAGCTTCCTCAACCTTATTAGGTGCAATTGTCCGGCCAAAGACCATGTTCCCCTCTTCTTTTTTGGGGATTCGTATTCTGACGTTGGAAACAATAACTACTTCTACACCGTTGCTCAGGCTAGTTGCAAGCCTTATGGAGAAACTTCTTCAAGTACCCCACTGGAAGATTCTTTCTTTTCTGGTAACATGTATATTCAGCTGAGCCTTTGTGTGCTTTCTTGCAGCTGAGTATGCAGATGTACTGTTTCTTCCACCATATTTACAAAATAAATCGGAAGTTTACTTATGGAGTCAATTTCGCATCCAGTGACACTAGGGCTCTAGTTGAAGCTTATTGAGAATTGGTACATAATTATTGCTCAAATGCCTAAAAAATGTAAATCTTCATTAGACCAAATAAGGCCCCTTTTTCTCTTTGCTTGACTTATTTTGTTTTTCCAGCTATTCATGAAGGATCTCCAAACTCAGTTAAGTTATTTCAAAGATGTCACGAAACAGCTGAGACAGAAACTCGGTGATGCAGAGGCCAAGACTCTGCTTTCAAGAGCTGTTTACTTAATCAGGCACATGATGGATGAACCGGAGCAAACGAGTGAATCAAAGGCAAACAGACTAAGGAATGAATCAAGGAAGAAAACAGATATGTCAAGTAAGGAAACGGATACCAGAAAACAGGAAACTATCTCAACCATTCAATACAGAGCACTCTCTAAGGAAGAACTAAACAACGTTCAAAGGCAACGGTCAGATACATAAGTTTAGGAATGTATTTAGGATCTAAATATGTACTGTCAATTATATATACTGATCCCATTGCACAAAAAGCTCAAGTTGATAAAATCCAGTATTCTCTGCAAACAACTCTCTTGAAATTCTTCAAGGCATTGGAAAGCAACGATTACATTTTCCGTTTATACCCAAACTCTACCCTGCTTCAAACGTGTACCAAAGAAGAATATGTGGGGATGGTCATTGGCAATCTCACTCACGTTATCAAAGTAAAGTTCCCCTCCTGGTTTCTTTCCATCATTTTTTGCTTCTTTCTGTTAGGTTAATCTTCGTTGAATGTGACGTTTTAGGGAATTTACAAGGAAGGAGGAAGGAAATTTGGGCTGCTTAATGGAGGACCACTGGGTTGCATTCCATACGCCATTGTGAATGAACTAACGGACAATGGCTCCTGCGTAGAGGAAGCCACCGAACTGGCCAAGTTACACAACAAAGCACTTCCCTTGACCCTCCATGAGCTACCAGTGAACTAATTAAAAGGGTTGTCTAAATTTGTCTAGTGATTTCTAATATTTGTGGGTTTGTGTTTGAAAGGTTTAATTAATTAGTATTTTGCAGTCTAATATAATATTTTATAATTTAATATAATCTTAACTATTCAAACTATAAATATTTTTTTTGTATTCATAAAAAGTCACGTAACATCTACACAATAAAAGTTAGCATTATCACATAGGTAAAGAATTTACCACCATGTGAAATGGACCTGAAAGTTACGGGACCGTGCCATGGCTATGAAGGAAAAGGAGAGACCAAAGCAAAAACCAAATAGGGAGCAGTGCAAAATGAGGAAGCAATGCAACAGACCAAGGAGGAAACTACCCAGGTCAATCAAACTCCAGAGCAATAATCAGAGAGTGCTATGAGCAATGGTCAAGTAACATTACTCTTCTTAATACTAGACATAACAAATGAATTTGACCATGTCATTACAATTATATATGATCTCTGCTCTTGTACAGTGCACAGATCGTATACAACTCGGTATTAAATCCTTTGTATTTAAATCCTCTTCACTGACCACTGACAAAATTGAGAACTCAAGAACGAGATAGGAAGTTGAGCAAACAACCCATTATCATAGTAGCTAGGGCCACTACAAATACATTGAGTACTGAAACTATTGCTATTGTGCTTTAGGTCTCGTTCAGGGCCTTGAATGACAATATTATTTATTTATTTATTTTGATATTGAATTATTTAATGTGAGGTAACTATTTTACATTTTTTAATTCATTTTATTAGAATGTTTTAGGTTAAAATTTCATTTTAATCCCTCTACTTTAAGAAAAAGCTTCTTTTTAGTTTTCTACTAAAAAAATCTCTTTTTAGTCCATAAAATTTATTATTTGGCCTATTTTTAGTAATTTTTTTATCTTTTTGTAGATGTGATATATTAGATGATGGAATTTCTAAAGTAAAAAAACTAAAAAAAAACTAGAAAAAGTTCTTTTTTTGTCTCTCTACTTAAAAAAAAGCCTTTTTATAGTCTCACTATATTGAAATTTTTGTTATTTACCATATCACATATGTAAAAAAATAACAGAAGAACTAAAAGGGTCAAATAATAATGTTAGGGACTAAAAATGAGTTTTTTTTTAATTAAGGAACTAAAAAAAACTTTTTTTTTATTAAAATAGAATGACTAAAATAAGATTTTAACCTATGTTATATGACTTGAAGTAAAGATCTTTTATTTTCACAAGAATGAGATAATCTACAATATTATTTATTGAAGGTATTATGCACAGCAGAACTTAGGGGTGTTTATATCTAAATCAATTCAATTAATTTGACCCAATGCAATTAAAAATTAATTGAAATCATTATTTAATTGGATTAATTTGGATAAAAAAATCAAAAATTAATTAAATTGGTTTGACCTATAATTTTACTTTACAAATGTGTTATCTAAATTGATATTAAAAAAATTAATTAAAATTTTTTCCCTATTCGTATATTCTCATAATTTATTCATCATAATTCTAAAATATATTATACAATACTTTTATCTATTATAAATTTATTCAGTTATATTTTTATTTTTGTTTAATTGAAATTTAATTACAAAAGAGAAAGTAATATAATCAAACTCCAAAAAATTTTTTTAAGATAAAACCGATCAATCTAATATAAACCAATCCAATCTAATAATAATTAAATGGATTTAATTTTAATATATTAATTAATTGAATTAATTTAATATTTTTAATCTAATTATTATAAATAAAAAATAAAAAAACTCATCCATCCGTACCGCAGGCACCCTTGCAGCACGGCTACAATGTAATTTTTTTTGGCTAGAAGTCTTGTCGCCCAAAGTTTCACAATTCGTTGGAGGGTA